AAATATAAACAAACTCAAAATTTAATCACAAACATCACAGAAACTACAACTACAACTAAATTAAGACGTCTTTATCGGATGATCGGGAATCCCTCAGAGGGGGTAACCTATGGTTGCTGACGAGACTTCCCACCTGAAAATTATGGAACTCATTAAGTTAAGTTTAATAAACTCATTTGGACTAAGTGAATCCAATAGAAAATAGTGGTGTTGGAATGAGGGAACCGTGGGATCCTAACCGGTGTCGCTCTAGTCAACTTTAACATGCCCTATAAAATTTAAGAAACTTCAACCATAGGGCCGTCTGATTTGACATTATAACTTGACACCCTAAAAAAATTAAACGTGCCACGACGAGGAGCTTGGAGCTAGCACGGTGGGCAACATAGCCATCTTCAACAGCAAAACCTATCTTCCCCAGCTAAACCAATTTCCTTCCGTAGAATTAAACAACCAAGCTATAGGATTTTGAGATTGTCTGCTTATGCAACATAAATCCTCACCTTATCTTTAGGCCTTTGTATAGCTCTGTTGTACAATATAAGCCCTAACTCATCTTAGGACTCTGAGGTTTTCAACCTTCATGACCTAAGTTCTCACATCTTCCCGGCTATTTGTGTGATCGTTTCACATGAATGTAAGCCCTAATAAATAAAATTGGCAGGATGAAACACCTAAATATTTCTCCTCAAAACTGAAGTCAAACCATAGGATAGACTGGGAAGTCACCAAGGTTTTCCTCTGGATCTATGACATCCCCTAGATCTTCCTTCTTTGGACTCTATAATAAATGTTCCAAATTTGAATCATTCCCTTTTCACACCTCTTTGTCCGATCTTGTTAAAAAGTCCTATCTTTCTGAAATCCTTGAAGATAATATTTCTTGATTTTTATCAAGAGTTTTCTTAGATGACTTCGGTCATTTATGATGTAATTAACTATAGGGGCTTGCCTTATAGGAAGCTCGTCCGAACCCAGCTTAATATATACCCTATTTAATTCTTCATATTAAATAGAGGAAATTGTTGACAAATAAAGTGGTTTCGCAGACCAAACTAACGTCATATATTTTTTTGTTTATTTGATCGAGCCTCATATGCACCAAAATAATCAGTCGTCATGGAGAGCATAAGGAGAAGCAAAGAGCGTCCGACAGTGCTTGAAAGAAGATAAAGCGATGGATCAGCACCCCCCCCCCCGGAGACATTTAGAAACATGCAGTCTTCCCATACAAAATATCCTGCAGAAAGCAAACACGAGACAATCCGACAAAAATGCATATGATCATGACTTGCAATAGAGTATTGCAGGAAGGCCACCAAAACGAGAGAGCAAGTAAAATAGTGCTGAAATAACACCCACAGACCCTTAGCCTGCTCAGAAAGGAGCAAAAAACAAAAAATTCTATAACATGAAGCCTCAACCTAAACTAAAGCCTCAAAATCAAACCAGAACCTGATGTCCAAACCGAAAAGAGATAGGAGGCAAGCAATGGCATACCATACACACACTATCAAACTCCACTCAACCTGATGTCCAAACCGAAAAGAGATAGCAGCCGAAACAGTGGCAAACCCCAACAAACTCCACCCAACCGAACAAAAAAGAGACATAAGAGGACAAGTCTCAAACAAACTATCAAAAACCAAGGTTTCAAAACACAAAATCCATATAGCCAAAAGCAAAAAAAAAAAAATCGAAACAAATAAAGCATAAAAGACCCAACTAAATTCTGATAAATGGAACTTCAAGCAAATCACCAATTCTGATAAATGGAGTTTCAAGCAAGTCCCCTGTAAGAAGAATATAGAGCTGCTGAAAGGGAGAGATCTCACTTACAAGCTCATTAGCTTCCTTGCCCATACGGGCTAACCAATTCGCAGGAGACTTGCATCCTTTATAGATGAAAGACAATTTTATATTCAAGTTGAATCTTTGTATAATATCCCACACTCTATTCATTGTGGGAATCAAATCCCACCGAGGCTTAGAAACCTTATTGAACACATCAATAAGAATTTGTGAGTCCGTCTAAAAAACTATGTTATATAATTTGAGGCGAGTAACAACCTGTAAAGCCAACAGAAAAGCCCAACATTCAGCCTCGGCGAGAGAGGAGGCCAAAATAGGAGAAGCAAAGAAAAATAAACAATGGCCGAAATGGTTCCGTAGAACCCCATCCGCACCAGCCGCATTGGGCATCCACATCAAAATTGAATTTGACTCAATCCAAAGTTGGGGATTGCCATCTAAAGAAGATGGCCTTCCTACCTAACCTAGACCGATCAACATTACCAGGTAAGCAGAGAGCACAACAAACTCGATGGAAATGAGCTATAATGTTAGAAGCGGTAATAGAAGGAGCACACATAGTATTGTCATATTTAGCATCATTTCTTCCCGCCCATATGAACTAAAGAGGCACAAGGGGAAACCAAAACAACTTCTTATCAACCTGGGCTACATCTCTCCAAATCTTAAGAAAATCAGCAATCGATGAGGAGTTCAACCATTTGATAGCAAAATGGTTGCCCAAAATATTCCAAGTATCAGCAGAAAACAGGCAAAGAAAGAAAAGGTGTGTAACTGATTCAAAATCTCTTTTACATAAATAGCATTGAGATGCCAATTTCAATCCTTTAAGCTTCAAAATATCATCCGGAGGAAGCAACTGGAGAAAGAACCTCCATAATAAGAAAGAGATGGATGGAGAAATAAGCCCGTTCCAAATAACTTGCCCCCATCTCCAATTAGTATAATGATAAAGGTTAGTAAAAGCATTTTGGTGGGAGATAAGGATCCAATAGCTTTCCATAGAGGACGATCATTGGTGGTAGGCTTCAGAGGAATTGTAGATATTTTAGTAGCTTGCGGACCAAAAACATAGTTTAATTTATTGACATCCCAATTATCATTAAGCCACAAACTAGAGAGAATTAGATCATTTGAAATCAGAGAGAATTAGATCATTTGAAAACCTGTGCTGTGACGGGAGATTAAAATCTCCCTGACCCCACAGGTCATGCCATACCAAGATTTGGCCCTCACCGATATCCCAAAACATAAATTTTGAAGTCGTCTCTCTAGCTTTAATAATTGCTTTCCAAATCCTAGAATCGCTCACTTTCCATTGAACCAATGTCGGGTGATGATGAGAACATTACTTGTGATACATAAAATTGACCCATAAGGAGTCTTTCGAACGAAATTTAAACCACAACTTATACATGTTATTCTCAGAGATTTAATTAAGACTTTTAATCCCCAAACCACCAGCCTTCATAGGCTTACAAATTTTATTAAAAGAAGATCAATGCTTCCTTGACTGATTTCCAGACCAAAGAAAACGATTAAAGATCCTCTTTAATGTGAGCTGAGTATTCTTCTTAAGATTAAGAATTTGCAACGCATACATAGGAATGCTGATTAAGACACTTTTGAGCAAAGTGAGGCGGCCACCATTGGATAGAAAAATATTTCTCCAATCCTCAATTTTAGATTTGATTTTCGCAACAACATCATCATATTGAATTTTCTTCTGACGACCTCTTAACAAATTAACACCAAGATACTTGACAGGAAAAGTAGATGAGTGACACCCAGTGAAGGAGATAGCCCAAGAAGCAACAGATTGATTAATATTCTTGCCGAAGTAAAGATTACATTTATCCTTGCTAAAAATTAATCCGGAAGTTTGTTGGAACTGCTCGAGCACCCTCATCAACAACTTCATAGAATTTTTATCCGCATTACAGAAAAGAATAGCATCATCCGCATAAGCAAGGTGACTCCCCAAAACCGTGGACTAATGATGAAAGCGTGTGTACACCTTTTTTTGCTGCAAATCATTGACCAAACGAGAAAAATAATCAAAGGCGATAATAAAAATCGTCGGAGATAGAGGATTATCTTGCTTAATGCCTCTTTGCGTAGGGAAGAACCCATAAGCATTACCATTAACCATAACACTATAGTGATTTTTGTGCAGCCATCTTTGAATAAGAGAAATGAAATTATGATGAAAGCCACGAGCATGCAGAATATTGAAAATGAAATTCCAATTGACAGCATCAAAAACCTTTTTAATATATGTATATATATATATATAATTTTAGAAAAGTATAAAATCAAACTAAAAACTATGCACGTGTCGTGGTATGTTGTAAGAGCAGTCTCACTGAATGTCATAAATCATCTCAGGTCACGGGTTCGAATCCCTCTGTGTGTAGGATGTGGTACTCAAATATTTAACACACCTTGAAATTGTATATATCTATCTTCTTCAAGCTATAATGTTGCTGAAATTTATGTAGAGCGGAGGACGCATGCGCACACGCACAACATTTTAAATGATATTAAAAAAAAACGAAAATGACTGAGGATGGATGGAAACAAATAGGCAAGAGTATAGAACATCAAATAATTAGATTAAAATAAAATTTTAAATTTGAGATGATTTTTTTTATTATATTCAAATAATATCATTAGAAACAAGTTTTAAAATAATAATATCATTTATCATAGATATAATAGCAAAATTTAAACATTAAATCAGCTTTATATAATTCATAGAATAAAAGAAAAAAAAAATTGCATTAAATTTTTAATCAAGATAAATCTCTCTGAAACATGTCTAAGAAAAGCAATATATAATTAAGGAAAATTTACATATCATACCATCCAACTCTTACGTATTTACAAATTTACCCCCCTAAAATCTGGCATTTATACTAAACAGACCTTGATGCCATAAATCTATACATAAAAATGTGTAAAAGTTAATTATCATATATATGTAAATATGAATGCTAGATATAACATACGTATGTAAATGCTATAAGTAATTCATATTATATTAAATTTCAAAATAAATCAAAAAATATTTAACATTCTTCCTAATTATTTCTATATATATATATATATATTCAAATCAAAAATCGAAATTATAATATACAAATTTTTTTAAGATAGTCTAGAAATAAATTGAATTTGCATATTGCCCCAAAAAATTTGTAAATTTTCACATTTATTATTCGCTGCGTCCCCCTCCCCAGATTCCTCAGAGACGCATGATGGTGTGTACCCGTATCCCTTGCTCCGCTGTATTGCATGTGCCATGTGAAGCTCCTCTCTCTCTCTCTTCCCCGCACACCCCTCTTCTCTCTCACTCCCCATTTCTCTCTCATATATAAAGCAAAACCCTCTCTCTCTCTCTTTCTCTCTTCTCTCTCTCTCATCCCTGTCACCAACAAAGTCCCCAATGCCAAACTGGCAGTTTTAATTTCAGGAAGGAATGAGTAAAGGACAAGATGGGTCTGGGATTTGAGTGCGATTCTCTTCGTTTTTTCTGCAACGCACTCCCGATCTCCATCTCCACCCTCTCCTCCTGCTCTCTTCTCGATCGCATTCCATCAAACAGTACTGAGAATGAAGAAAGCTGGCGACTTGGATGAGTTCATGGTGGAGGAAGAGAGATCCGACTCAGAATGCTGCAGTGGTTGTCAATCTGGCTGGACTCTCTATCTTGGCCAGTCGCAGTCCCAGGAGAGATTGACCACCTCTGCTTATTGGGAGGAAGAAGACGAAGAAGAAGAAGAAGAAGAAGAAGTAGTAGAAGAAGACCAGTCAATGCTCTCTGATGCTTCTTCTGGCCCACCACATGTCCACGAGGAAGAAGACAACATTTTCTCCTGCTGCTGTGATGATGGAGATGGCTGCCTCTGCAATGCCGCTTTCCTTCCTCTAACTAAGAATGGAATCAAGAGGAGGAGGACTGAAGAGGAGCAGAAGGAGAATAAAGAAACGTTTTTGGACGATACTGCCAGCTCCACTCTGTTCACTATTTCCAAGGCATTATACTTCAGCTCAAACTTCGTAACCATTGATTTCTTTTATTTTAGCTACACATAAAGCTCATCTTCTTCCTTCCCTCTTCGGTTTAGGGTTTAACAACCAGTACCTGCAGCAGTAAAAAGCTTCTGATGGAAGACGATCACTCCTGCTGCTTCTCTGCAACCCATTTCAAGGTGCCATTAGAGCACTTCTCATAACTTTCTCTGCATTCTCTGAATAACTGAAGATTGTCTTAATTCCTGCATTTTGTTCAATTTTAGGTTTGGTGACAAGAAGGTGGGACGAAACTGATGTGAAGAAAAGCAGAGAAGATGTGCATAAATCCGCGAGATCTCACTCTAATGGACTCTCTGATCTTGTTTTTTTTTTTATTTATTAGTTTTTCATCACCAATGTTCATTTCTTTCTCTTTTCTTTTGTTCAGTCCCCACTTTTTCTCCTGTCAATCCAGCAGGGAAAGGAAAAAAAGCTCTGCTTTCACTTTTGTTTAGTTCTTTTGTCATGAATGAGAGCAACAAAGTGAAGTCTTTGGTTTCTTCTGTTCAGTTTCTGTTCATATTCAAATTCTGCGATTGCTGGATCTCTGTTATAATCCAAAATCACTTACTAACCCACCATACGGAGCAAAATATGTAGAGGCTACCACACAATTCTTATGTATTTACATACCTAACAGCACACAATCACTGCCATTTTAAAAGTGAAATACACATTTTCATACATAATTTTACCACACCAAGATGCTATAAGTTTAAATATCAAACTTAGGGTGTTAGATATGTAAATATATAAGAATTGTGTGGTTATGTGATGATAAACAAAAGGACTTCTCAAGTATAACCAAAATTGCTTTCTTTCTGAAAATTCAAGGAAATTAATAAATAAACAAATTTTGGTTGTGGAAGAGAACAAATAACAAACTTTTTGTGTCTTTAGACTGGAGATTGAGTTTTGAAAGCAATGTTGGTTCTATATTTTGATTGATCTGAGCAGAATATAGGTTTGTTGTCATATGGAAATCTAAATGCCGAAGAGAAATCTCAGAAAATCTCAGCAAAATAAAAGCTTTTTCTAGGCCTAGTTTTTGTCTGATGTACTGCTCTCCCCCATAAGGAGAGAGAAAGTATAATATAAAAGAGAGATCATGTGAAAGCTTGGAATGTTCACCCATCTCTCTCTCTCTCTAAACCCCACCCTACCCCACCCCCCCTTAATTATTCAATGTCTCTCCAAAACACAATGACTGGAAGAACTAATTATAATCTTCTAAAAGTTCAAAAAAGGAAAAAAATTTATTATTTCTTCCCTATCCTCACCCCATCATAATGGTGGATATTATAATAGACATGGAATCAGCATAACCATGTTTGTTTTCCCCAACTTTAATTTTAATTAAATGCAGAAAAAATAAAATCTGTATAAGAAATATCCACTGAAAACCTGCATTAACTGAAACTCATATTCATTTGGATCAAATTCATCAAGTTATTAATCAAATCAAATCAACAAGCCATCGATCTCGAACAAGCTCAATCTAAAGCTACTCATCAAAGTCATTGGCCTGTAGAACTCCATTATTTGTCCGGACTACTGAGCTTTTAACTAGAGATTCTAGCCATGATAACTCATCAAAGTTAATTAGCTGCTACACAACTAGTTACACAGAGTTAACTTATATAGTAATTAGTAATGTTCTCATGTAGCCCATTCTATAAGACAAGCCTTAACTTTCACCTATAATAAGAGTTATTGATTCAGCATGAGCATGACGTAGTTATGCATGTGTTGAAGCTATGCCTCTCTAAACAATTTAGGGGGGCATTTACATACAAACCACAGAATTCTTATGTATTTACGCATTTAATACCAAAACGTTCATATTTACATTCACACCACTCATATCTTTAATATCACATAAAAAGGGTACCTTTTTAAAAGTGAAATACAACTTTTCCTGCAGAAGTTTATGACATCAAGGTGTGTAAATATCAAACTTTGGGTGTTAGATATGTATATACAACAGAATTGTGTTCTGTATGTAAATTTGTCAACCATGAAATCTATCTCTCTACCTCTCTGTTTTCACTTCAGGCTTGAACCTTGCTTACAGCGGAGTTTTATCGGTTTCCACAAACAATGAATTCAAATTGAAATGCATATATATATATATATATAATACATATATATCGCACCTAAAATTTATTTTTTGCATATATACCCCCCAAATCTTTCACATAAAAAAAAAAAATCACCATTTTAACATTAAAAAGTGAAATACACATTTTCATCCATAGGTAAGGTGTAGTCTATGTAAAAATTAAAATTTATGTGTTACATATGTAAATACATAAGAATTAAGTGCTATGCATGTAACTACCCAAAAAGGTAAATTTTAAAACTACCCTTAGACGCTATATGTACTGTGCATAGGCTTAAATAGTCATGCCCACATGTAACATGTTTATTTAGTGAATATAAATAATAATATCTTCTCTGTGAATGTTGTTAACAATCATATTTGATAGGAGTGAAGAGGATGAAGGCTACACTATGAGTTGGTGAAAAGGCCAAAGTGAATTTGCATTTAACTAAACTGCAGTTAGTTTGATGACTCTCTGAAGGTCATAAGTTCCCTCAGGTCACTACTTCAAATCCCCACGTGTGTAGGGATGGTACTCGAATATTTAGCACACCTAAGATAGCCGGGACTTCAGTCATTCCTTTTATGTCTTTACACATCTAACACATACTTTGCTTTTTTATATTTCTACCACCCAAATTCTTCATATCACATCAAAAATATCACTATTTTAACTTATAAAAAGAGAAATACACATTTCATGCATATATAAGGTGGCATATATATATATATATATATATATATATTAGATATGTATATGACATATGAAATAAGTAGTGTGCAAGTAAATTTTACTTTATATTAAAAATACATAGGAAAGAAGGGTATGTGTGTAAATCTTCTTATATATAAATATTAGCCATTCTAACCACCCTTTCTTCTTCCACGTGTCCTTGGCTAAGCTTACGCTTTCTCCCACTCCTCGGGCAGAATGAGTACCTCCCTCAAAACAAAAACCAGAAATGGGTCCTTATCTAATGTTTCCCGCCTACAGCTTCTTAATTTCTTCCCTAACAATATGCACGAACTTCAAAGCTTGAGCACATGTTCGCCAACACAGCATAAGGGCACATGCAAACACGTGCGCCAGCCCGCATGCACACAATGGCACATGTGCACACGTGCACATGTACATGATTGATCTTTTCAAGGCTTGAGGCCATTTTGAAAAGATAGATATGGGCTCAGCAAGTCCTTTCTTTGGTAAATATACAGTTTACTTAACCATGGTTACCATGCAAACTTGTATGCTAATTTCATTATAGAAGCCACAATGCAAAAAGAACCTATAAAATCTACTATAAACTGCCTATAATGTTATTGTATCTATTTAAGCAATTTTTGCTGAAGATGACAAACAATATAGCTCCATGACAGCTTTCTTGTCAATAAAATTATGCTTAATTTAGAACCTCTATTTAGGATGGCATTGATTAACTTTGTCTTTTAGACCAACTATCACCATTTTGCTTGGCTGTAACTTTCTCATTGCTTTTTTAATTCTATAATAAGAAGAAGTCATTTGCAGGTAAATCTACTAAAATATGATGGCCCTAAAAAAGATTATTGTCAACTTTTTCAGAAGAGAAAAAGCTTATAATATTCACAATGTTCTAAAAATTTAGGGGTATTTTTACATAAATACTACACAACTCCTATATTTTTACATATCTAACAGCTTAACTTTCATATTTACATACCAATCAAAGCTTTGATAGCACATCAAAAATACACCGTTACTAACTTTTTAAAAGTGAAATATATCTTCTCATGCATAGGATTTTAACAAGAAAGTGCTATACATATAAAATATCAAACTTTCAGTTGTAGGTATGAATGTAAATTTCCCAAAAAATATATTTTTCACTTAATAGTTCTATGGTTATTTTTATAAATTGTCACCCCAAATAGGTTTAACAACAAAATATTGCATATGAACAATGTCTAGTTACTCATTGTACTCTATTTATTAAATGTAATTTAATGCAAGCTTATTCATGTACCATCAAGTGCAGGAATGTGAGCTATATGACAGGAAAATTTTTTAAAACAAAATGAACAGTAAGGTATAAACAAATGAATAAACTTCTTTCAACACATGCATAAAATCATTTTTTTATGGTTTAAACTCAGCCTCGAGACTCAATTTAACATAAAACTGACAGCAACGGAATCAAAGATTAACATATTACAATTATGATTATGTTCCAAGTAATTAGTGCGATTTACCTAACCTTTGTTGTTAAGTATATTATGATAAAAGCAGGTGAACCTTTTATTTTGGGGACTTCTAACAAATTTATGCAAGCACAGTATAAAAGTTGAAACTTCCGAACTGTTGAGCAAAGCGTCAGATGGCAAACGAAGCGATTCATTTGTTGAAAGCAAATTATATTTCTTTTAGCGTTAATACCAAGTATGTTGTCATGTCCAAAATGTTTCAAACCTATGTACAGCACATGTTGAAGACGTGTGCGTGATTTTATCTCTAGAGTGCGTATCATATTTCACACACTCATGTAATTTGAAGTGTCCGTGCATCCGAAGTCCAACCTCTATGGAATACAAAAGCTCTAGATTATTGGTGCATCAAGCCAATGTGACTTTTGAATGTCATTTTCAAAGATCTAACCTTCAAATTTTAAGGTACCAAGATTGTCACCACACTCTTACAATTACTTCGCAAGAGTGCAAGTTAGAAGAGTACTTTTTTCATATACTATGTGAAAATCCTTCAAAAAAATTTTCTTTCTTTTGAACAAAAAAGCTAATATAAATATCATAAGATACCTCACAGATCCTCCTCGTAGGTTAAATCATAATTCATCAGTTGTATGTAAGAAGTGAAGAACTTAGTCCTGACATCCCACAAGCCAATAAAAAAACCGAACTGACCAATCAAAAACAATTAAACCTTGTGATGAAGTTTATCACATCTATCACATGAACAATAATGGTTGACTCAAAATAACACCACACTCATTCAAACATCAACCTACATCCAAGCACTCATCTCAAATGCATAATGGAGTCTTTTTTGCTTGAGCAAGAATCCCTTTTAGAGATTGTGGTTTGGCTCCTTTTATGATGCATGGATTGGGAAAACAAAACATAGACACGTGACGAACTTATTTTTGAAAATATAAGAAATGGCGATAAGATTGATATGAGAATATATATAATAAAAAGTAACAGTCCATCAATTAAAAAAGATTTTTAACATGGAAAATAAGATAAATAATATTATATTATCTTAATATTAAAGCTAATAAATCATTAATAATAAATCTTTTTTTATAATTATTTATAAATAATAACTAAAATATAGCATATTGTATTTTATCATTAAAAAAAATCAAACTTAAATTCCCCACAAAAAATCCATAAATAAAAAAATAAAAAAATAAAGATTGTCATTTTTTTATTGTCACAATTATATTGAACTCGTGTTGAATAAATTATATTTCTTTACTTTAGAACAGAGCATGCATTTGTATTGTCCAAAACGCGTCAAAGCCATGTACAACGCGTGTTGAAGTCGTGTAATAGATCCTATCTCTGGTGTGTCTCAGACACTATACACACCCTCGAAATTTGAAGTGTGTGTGCATTCTAGCTCCAGCCTCTATAGAACCAAAAGAGCTCTATACTATTCGAAACAAAAAGCCAATCTGACATCCAGAGATGCCACTTTGAAGATCTATAACCTTTAAATTTCTAAGGTACCGATATCCTCATCACACTCTTAAACTACTTCACAAGAGTGCACGTTAGAGGACTCATTTTTTCATATACTAAAACTTAGCGAAAATCCTTCAAAAATTTTTTCTTTCTTTTGAGCATAAAAGATAATTCAAATATCATAGCACACCCCATGGATCCTCCTCATAGTGATGACTCATCATTCATCAAGTGTATGTAAGAAGTGAAGAGCTGCCTCACACAAGATTAAAAAAAACAGTGCAATTACATACTACACACTCGAAACTTGCTATTTATAATCAACCACCCTCTTTCATCCATATTTCAAATTCTCACTCAAATATCAAAATTCATGATAAAACCATAATCCATATCTACCAATTTTATCAAATTCTCAATAGTTTGATTGTGGCACGCGTAAATACATCGATTTGGTAGTTCAAAAAAATCAACTGGGTGTTTAAATTGTAAATCAATGTTTCAGGCGGTTTATATGTAATTATAATGAATTAATAGCTCCAAAAAAACTAATTAGTACACCGACGACAATGATGTCATCAACATACACAACAAACATAGCGATGTGAGCTTCATGTTATTGAAAGAATATGATATGATCTGCATTTATTTGTTGATATCACATGTTCATCGTAGTCTTTTTTAAACTTATCAAACTAGGCTCGAGGAGATTGCTTCAAACCAAACTGTGACTTCCTGAGCCTACATACTTGCCAATTGTCTCGACTATACTGAATCATAGTATTATCTTCATATATACCTCCTCCAGTAACTAACCATGAAGAAATGCATTTTTCACATCAAGTTGGTGTAACCTCCACCCATCATTCACTGTCAGAGAAACCGGTGTTCTCACTGTACTCAGCTTTGCTCCTAATGCAAAGATTTTATCATAGTCAAAATCATATCTATGTATATACCATTTTTCCATCAGTCGTGCTCTGTACCGCTCTGTCTTCCCTTATGGAGTTTGTTTAACTGTGAAGATCCACTTGCACTCAATCTTCTTTCTCCCCGTTGGTTGTCGCACTATCTCTCCTGTTAGGATTTTATCGAGAGCCCTAAGCTCTTCATGCATAGTTATTTTCCACTTAGAATCCCCCTAAGCAACCTGTCAACACTTGAGTATAGAGATAGTGTTAAAAGATGCAATGAATGCTCCATGTAAAGGCAATATGAGAATATAAAACAAAATTAGCAATGTTATGTTTACGACAAAAATATTCGGAAGGATGTCCCGCATTATTACGATAGGTTCTCCTTAAAGTTGGGGGGTTACAAGGAGGAGGAATCATACCACCCGGGAGTTCTGAGTCGAAAGCGGATGGTAAAGGTGTCTAAAAGTCAGGGAAGACCCGAATAAATGACTAGCTGGAATCATACCTCCAGCCCGAAACCTACCACCTCTGGGCTCACTCTCCTCATTCATTGGTTCCTCAACAGATTCATCCCACATCATAGAACAAGGCATTGCTCCAGCGTGTACAACTCTCATTATTGCTACTCAACCACCTACCTCACACCTTCAGTATCTGGCAAGTCGTTGAAGGGTTAAGTCTCCTCTTGGGTATGGTACAATTCAAATTTTTTAAATAACACATCCATGCTCAGAAATAGTCTATTCTCTATCATATTCTATCAGACATACCCCTTATAGGTAGCAGAATAACCTATAAACACACATTTCATGGCTCTCAGATCCGGCCTCCCTACTGATGGTCTGTTATCTTTCACAAAACATATACATTTAAACACCTTTAACAGGAGAATCTCTTTATTATTTTCTTTCAACATCTGACAAGAACGTTTCCAATCCAATACTCTCGAGAGGATCCTGTTGATTAATTGAGCAATTGTCAAAACTGTTTGCCCCATAACTGTTTTGGGACATTCATTGCAATCATCATAATTTTGGCTACCTCTAGAAGGTGTCAATTCTTCCTCTCTGTTACTCCATTTTGTGTTGGTGTGTATGGATATGTGGTTTGATATTGTATAATTTGGGCTGACAAGTATTATCCAAATATTTTGTTAGTATACTCTATCCCATTATCAAACATCAATATATTCACCACTGCACTATATTGAGTTTGGATTGACTTATGAAAGTCTTTAAAGCAAACAAACACGTCACTCATATTTTTTATCAAATATAACCAAGTAACACGAGAAACATAATCAAGAAAACTCTCAAAAAGTATCTGTCACATGTCGAGATACACTAAAATCTACTATACATTATGATGATCCTGTGGTGAAAATAGAAGCAAGAGCATGTGTAACACAAGTACCGAGTAAGCCTAAGTAGCAATGTTACCATTTAATGACGACTATTTGGAAGCATCCTCAGCCCCATCTTTTGTTACTTTCTGCTTCATCTTCAACAACTTCAGACATTCATGATCCTCATTGGTAAAAACTACATGTCTCTCCCTCCTTTGCAACCATCAAATTTGCCCGATAGTCTCCTTTTCCACCTTTTCAACCACCTCGACCTCCACCCTGTCCACTTCCACTTGTCTCTCTCCTTAGGTGGCCAAAAACAAGTTTTGCTCAGATGTCCAACTTCACCACAGTTGTTGCATTTGCAAGTCTCTCCCACTGGATATCTATCATACCTGAGCTCGGGGTAGCCAGAGCTGATCGTGCACCCAAAAGTCAACTAGGCTCAGAACGTAGCTTCATGCAACTCTTCTTCTGTATCATTGCAACAATGGCCTCATACAATGAAGGATCGTTGTCTGAGCTGGGAGGACTAATCTCCTTTGATCAAAGATCAGGTTCAGATGAGTCAGAAACAGCATAGTCCAAATCTGTGTAAAGATATCCCATCCCTGCAGCTCGATATCGGTGAAAAGTACTCAAAATCTGCCCACATCCGCTCCAGATCTATGGCGTATTCCTGAATTGATTTATCATCTTGTGTCACTGCTTCTATCTCACGCTGAATCTAGATCACGTTCATGTGGTTCTCTGTCTCAGCGTAAATCCTCTTCAACTTTGGTTGCATGTCCATCACCTTTTGAATGTCAACTACAGAGGATGCAATTGTCGGGACCATCGAGTTGAGTAGCTAGGTGTAGATTAAGGCGTGTGTGATCCCCCACTTATCCCCCTTAGTACTGTCACTCTTTAATTCGTCCCAGATTAGATATCCCTTTGGTCTCTTCCCTACTATGACAGCCTCGACCGACTTGACCAACTCAGATATGTGGCAGGTCAATCAAGCTTCAGCTCCATAAGAGGGAGATCAAGCTTCACCTGCGTCATAGTACATGCTGAGGTGGTGGCTTCCGTCGAGACGCTAGCTCCCTATATGAGCCCGACAAAGACCTTCAGAACTTCAGAATCTATCTTCCCCAAAAGCTTCAATCTTTTACCTCCTACACTATCTCCATCTCTTGGCATCCTCAATCACAAGTATCCAAGCCTAGATCATACAGATCATACCACACATCACGTCGCGGTCCCGTTGTTCCCTTCCTGGTTCCCGTCGCAACCTCCCTGGGTAGCTCCAATCACGATTGTATCGCAAAGCTTTAAGTTGCAGTCCCATCATTAGCGTCCCAGTTAGCTCTAGTCGCAGTCGCTTCATTCAGAATCGGCTGCTTTGTCCAACTTCGCAAGGAAGAAGAGGAAGGAAGAGGAAGTTTCAGTTCTCTATACACCAGATCCCGACTAACGGCTAGGTTAGGATTCTGATACCATAATGAAATAATTACTCCAAAACTAATTTGGACATTCATAACGTTGGCTTAAATACGGTCTTACAAGATTTTACAAATAAATCCTTAGACTTCTTCAATATTTCCCTTTTTTTTTTCATAGTACCCTAGATAAGATTCAATTCTCAACAAATTATCCCTAAAATAATTGAACATCACTAATTTACACAACTTAGGGTCTATTTGCTACGAACCTCATGTTTGACTCTAAAGCACTTACAGCACATCAATGTTCCCAACATAGAAAGCAATGCTAGTGTCGATCCGTTCCTCTAAGAACATACATTAGTAATCCTCTTCTTAGCGAAGGCATTTAACGGCAGGAAACAAACAAAAAAAAGCCGCTGCTTCAACCATAGTGGTGCAACTCTACTAAGAACTCAGGAGAGACTTCAATCTCTCATAGAAGAGAAGTTTCACCATCGCTAGTGAGTTCACAAGAACTCCACTACACTTAAGGAGCAACCATTATTATCCTAACAGTTAGGGTCAATTTGTTTCAATGCAAATAACTTGCAATGATTCAAACTGAGTTTCGCAGTTGAGTTCCAATATTTGTTTGGTAGAAAGTAGATGCAAATGAATTTTTAATCATAAAACCCGACTTTATAAATGTGAAAAGTGAGTTCCATTTACGAGGGCATGAAAGTCCCCTTCAGGAGTATAAAGGAATAATAAACATCCATAAAATTAAAAAATATTGAATTAGAATACTACTTTTACTCATAATAATAATAAAATAACATTAAAATTATTGGGATGATAGCGAAAATTAAAAACAATTGCAATCCAAGAAAACATTGAAACTGAGGTTATACAACATGGTTTCATGCATAACAAAGAAATATTTTATGGAAAAAATCAAAGATCCCAAGGACCAAATCCCATAATGAAGAATGAAAAAATAAGAAAAACAAAACAAAAACCGGAAAGCTTATAAACCTGATCATCAATGAATCCACCTTGCAGTTAATTGCAGCACAACTTTGACTATAATTAGTTATACTCTGCAAAATAATGAAAAAAACAGTTGGTTATCAAACTGAGCTTCGAAAAAAAACACTATATAATAGCTTTAAGCAAGGTTTGATGACTAATGATAAACATTATCATCCCAAGTTAACCAACATTTTTCTCATCATAATTAAAATAAGAGAAAGTGCTAAAACAGCCCCATGACTATTTACAAGGGATCATTTTAGTGTCAAAAGCTATAAAAATATCAAATTAGTCCTTGGACTTTTTTAATATGGGTGAAAATCTGTTTCAATCTTCATTAAAAGAGACTGAGTACTAAATTAGTACTTTTACGAACTATGGGATTAAAATGCACCCCTACAAAGAGTCAACGGACAATTTAAAATAGCAAATCCACTGGATGATTTTTTTCCAAATGCTTACAAAATACACAGAAAGGTGTACCTTCTGGTATGCCTGGAGTACATGCTGTCTATCAGCTTCATGACATTTCCTGTTGCTCTAAGAAATCCAGCTTACTCATCAGATTTCCATTCACATCTCATAAGGATTCTGCATACTACAGAATATAATTAAAGCTTCTGCATATCTTGGACACTAAAAGAACTTATTTGATTTTGCTTCAGAAAATCAAAGTTACAATCAGAAACTTAATAAAAATGCTCATTTTGTAATAGGAAGAATTAGATACATACCACTCAATTTGTATGCATTTACATGTCTAACACTTAAACTCCAATTTTACATGTATGCCGTCTTTTCTGTGCAAGAAAATTTGTATTCACTTTTTAAAATTAAAATAGTGGTACTTTTGATGTGATATGAAAATTTTGAGTGGTATAAATGTAAAAAGCAAAGTTTAGGTGTTAGATATGTAAATACATATGAATTGTGTGGTATGTATGTAAATGCCACTTCATAAAATATAGCAGGAAAAAGGCCTATGAGCTCCACTAGCTTTCCTATTTGCAAAAGGTAAAACAGTTATAGTGTTTTTAAAGCATTAAGAGCAATGTGATGCATAGGTATTCTTATTTTATTTCAATATAATAAGCACAAAAGTAAAGCGGCACTTTTACTACCTAGAGGTTTCAAGATTTGCATCTATACATACATATAATATGTGCACATAATAGTTATTTACTTGACCAAACTTAAACCACAAGTATTTTTTAGCAAATATGATTATAAGTTTGATTACAAAATTTCTAGATATTAAAGAGCCAAAAGAGAGAGAACCAAAGAATAAAATGATATAAATAATAAAGTAGCATTACAAAATTTAAAAATTCAAAATATATTTATGAGCCTGTGCGGCCAAATAACTAGAGGAAAGGTAGAATGAAACAAAAGATAGTTAAGCATTCTCAAGAAGAAGCTTGGGAGTGAGGAGCTGAAAATAAAAACAAGGGGAAAGCACAAAAGTATAAGAACCACCAAGAGACGACTAGCTCCAATTGGAGAATAGAAAAGAAATGACCAACTAGCCCATTACTTTCAGAAATAGTGAAATGAAGCAAATGATTATGTCTAGTTATTATGGAAAATGATGAACCAAATTATGAAATTTGAGTAGGAGCCAAGCACACAATGCTACAATGATAGGAGGTGAAGTGGCACACCATGCTCGCTTTACTATAAGCTTGCATTTCACAGGTAAGTAATGCGCATGGCAGGCGTATCGCTTTGCTTTGCTCCAAAAATGTATTTTTAACAACACTATCAAAAACTAAAAATGTTTTGTTCTTCAATACGTAGTTAATACAAAAATTTACATACATAGCAGCCAATTCTTATGTATTTACTTATCTCACACCCAAACTTCGATTTTTACAAGCTAAGCACTTTTTCATATTGGTAGGGTGCTTTGGATGTAAAATCAAAGTTTAGGTGTGAGATAAGTAAATGCATAAGAATTGGGTGCTATGTATGTAAATTAACCTAGTTAATAATGTTAGCAAGAATACTAGGAGTGATTCAATGTTGACCACCATTTCATTTTCAAACTCTCAACAACAATAAGGCACTCTTATTGCAAAAAGCTTTATGTGAAGCTCATTTATGAAAAAGGTGCAAAATCTGCATTGTTAAATTTAGAGAAAAAAGAAAATACTCAAATGATTTGAATTTGAAGAGGCTTGTACAAGATAGATATTAGACACCCAATTCTCTAAATCCTAACGTTTCCAATTTTATTCCACTCTAGCTGGAGATTGTGGCATTATTAGTTTATTCCACAAACATTTACATTATATATCAGGCATAAAAAATGTTATTCATCAGGGAAGATTATCACAGGATCTTTGTGATGCAGTAAGCAATAAGATTTTCAAATATTTTCAAGTTTAAAATAATTTAAACAAAAACTAATTTGAGAGAAAAAAATATGATGAAATACAAAATGTGTGTATCTCCAAATATCCCAGAACAGACACAATCTTATTTTTATTATTATTTTGAATCATTGGGTGGCAATCGGCATTCATGGTAAGACTTATATCAACAACCACCAACAAAAAATCATAAATAACAACCAGTGTGTCAAATATTTTGAATTCATCTCTTAACATGCAAATATATGTTAATAGGTTTCAAAATTTAATTTGCAATTCAACAGTTACATCTTAAGCTGCTTCAAATTGAATTCAGAAACGTGTACCTTTTGCCTGATGAAGATAAAAACCTGGAACGGAAATGTCAACCATCTTCAATGTATCAAACTGGTGAAAGGTATGTACCATTCAAAACAAGAGATGGAACATAATATCTGAGCCATTTTAACCCGACCAAAATCTGTTATTTGTAACACCTTCTGCATGTTTGGCCATCCCCAAATTAGCCAATCAAAATAGCCTGTTTGAGTGCATGTCACAAATAAAAAGGATACAACTTATCAAATGAGTACAGGATTATATCAAGCTTCCAATCTTTCAATTACATCTTAGAAGCATACCAGTCGCCCAAAATTTAGCAGACACTCATGATTTCGCTAATCTCTCTCTCTTCTCGTAATCTTGTGGATGAATATGATTTATGCATGTATGAAATGAGTAAGATTCTTCATTCTCCTCGTCAAGCAGCGACACCTGTAACTTTTTCTCCCAACAAATTCGGATTCCATCATATCCATAACAATATTAAAACTATGACAACCTGTTGACAGTGATGGGATGAGACCTAAAATATGGATGAGCTGAAGAAACGATTACAGAAAATCTCATCCGTAGAAATTACAGGTTGGGAAAAATCATGTAAATTCAAAGTCCTTTTCTTCTTTCTATAAATGTTTGCATCATGAATCCTACCAGCTCTTTCTAGCCCAGCTATTAGAACTTCATAGGTACCACATGAAGCAGAAATTCCTTCATTTCTCATTCTTGAATAAAGCTGCAGACACTTATCAACTTCACCAGCCTGAAAAAAACCATTCATCAAAGCGGTGTAAGTCGAACTATTGTGGTCCACCTGTAAAGCGTTAAAAATTTTCGCAGCAGAATCAGGAAACCCAGCAGATCCAAGCTGGTAAATCAATAGACACAGAAGATATGTTCCAAAGTTAATGCCAATAGAAAGCATTTCTTCAATAATTTCCAACACCATATGATGCATATTCGCTCTAATTAGAAGGCCGATCAAAGAGATATATGCGGATCTCTCGAGTTTGCAGCTACCTTTTACGGTGCAATGAAATGCAAGCATTGCACCAGCGGGCCTTGAATTCTTGCAGTTGGCTAAGATGATAGCGAATAAAACTTCAGAATTCATCTGTGTTTCTTTATTAATCATCTGGCACAATAAATGGTCTATGGCAACTAAGTTCTTTGTAGCTAGAAAATTAGTGATAATGCTCCTATCCACAAGGAAATTAGGATCATCGCAAGCTAGTTCAGACTTTAAAGTATCATCCTCGATACCCTCGAGAGCAAGATGAGGATTTACTTCTCGAAGAAGATGATTGATCTCACTAAAATTCCTAAAAGCCTCCATTGCTTCTAGGAAAACAGGACGACGGAGAACAATGGAGTTCTCTTTCATGTAACTGAGAATTTGAGTAACCATCATTGTTTCTCGAGCAATAGAACACTTTTGGATGAGAATGTTGCATGTAGCTTTGTCAGGTAGTATTCCGGCTTCTTGCATTTCCTTCATTATTTCGAAAGCCTCTTTAAATAAACCTTAAATGATTGAGTATTGAAATTATAAGAACCAACTTAATAGGTGTAGTTTTACAGAATGAATGAGTTCTTTTAAAAATTGTCATTTAATTAATGAAGAGCTAAATGTAAATTTTGAGGCTGGAAGAGTATTGAGAAGACAAATCAACATAAAAGCATACATCAACAACAACAGCATGCCCTTAATCCATTAAGTGTGGTCATCCACATGAATCCTTTTTCTCCATTGTGTCCTATTGAGTGTCATATTTTCATTCAAAAGCAACATAAAAGCATGGAAGAAAAAAAAATCAATGGAAGGTCCGTATATATCACCAAACACAAAGAAAATTATGAAGAATAATCACAAAGTGGAATATTATTTTTATATACGGTTGTGAAAATGGTTCATAAAATGGGCACCAAAATAATTAAAAAAAAAACAGTTGTACGAGCACACATTGATTACTTTAAAAAGGAAAGTAACATCTCCTAAACATCCATATAATGCCTATAAAAATGGGAAAAATATTAAGAAAATGAAGTATTGAATACACTATAATGTGATGAAGACAATTTGTACAACAACAAGCCTTTATCCCACTAAGTGGGGTCAGCTACATGAATTTTTTTTCTCCATTGTGTTCTGTTGAGTGACATTTTTTAATTCAATTATAATAAATTAAGATAGCTTTTTATACAAAATGCCCACGTCCTTTTAGGTCTATCTTTACCTTTCTTAACATAAGTCGAATCTAAAACATTTACTCTTCCAACATGATCATCAAACGATCAATGTTTAATGCGACAAAACAATCTAAGATGACTCTCTCTAATATTGTTTACCACTGGAGCTACATCAAACATTTCATGGATACATTTGTTTGCATTTGATATAAAACTAATATGTACAGTTTTTTATTTGGTTTACCAAGGTTATGTTTGATATATCATATTTCCATGGTTAAAGATACATTGAATAATGTCTTAATTATAATAATTGTGTGGAAACTTTTTTTGAAGACATGTATACTGAATAAAAATTATGTTAAACTTATAACATATAAACACAAAGGTAAAACCAATATAAATATTGTCAACAAAGGAGATTCTCAGTTAGTGAGTAAACTAAAGAATTTTATCAAGTCAATGTTCAATTAGTGGTTTAAGCAAAAATAAAAAAGCATTTTTATAAAACTAATATGTACAGTTTTTTATGTTGAAGCCCTCCATCAAAAGTATCAACAAATTCAAAGCGATGAAAACTTTCATTTGATCAAGTTGCAGGATTCAATGACAAGAACTAAAAAATTCCGAACCAAACAGCTTACCGGGACCAACAATTACATACACACCACTAAATTCATGTGTATTTACATATGTAACACCAAAACTTCAATTTTTACATGCTTACCACCTTACCTATGCATGACAAGATGTACTTCAACTGCTAAATGTTAAAAATGGTGGTATTTTTGATGTGATATGAAAGATTTGGGTGGTATAAATGTCAAAAGTAAAGTTTAGGAACTAGATATGTAAATACATAAAAATTGGGTGGTATGTGGACATTCAACTAGCCAAAAACAAAAAGAACTGTCGTCAGCAAAGTCTAATCTGCACAACTATCCTTTGCAATTCAACATTCGCTCCTAAATTCTAAAAAATTCAATTCATTTACTCAAATCAGCACCCAAACATATTTCAAAAGCAAAAAACCAAACACCTTACCTGCACCCGCAAGATACTCCATCATCACAGTATAAGTAAAACAATTCGGCCGTATCCCCAAATCCAGCATCTCCCTATAAACCCCAGCCGCCTCCCTCGGCCGCCCATGATCAAACAATACCTTCATAAACGCAGTGTACGAAACCCCGGTCGGCCTGCACCCTCTCCTTCTCTTCATCTCCTCCCAAACCTCTACAGCCCCCTCGAAATCCCCATCCTTCGCAATCCAATGCATCACAGAGGTATACGTTGCGGCATCGATCCTCAACCCCTTCTCCTCCATCTCCCTCAAGACTTTCCGCATCGATTCGATGCGGCCAGCTTCGCCAAAGATATCGAGCATGGTGGTGTAGGTGAAATGGTCGTGTTTGAAGCCCGGGAGGAGAGCGGACCAGTTGAAGAACAGCCAGGCCTTCTCCATTGGAGGATGAGTTTTGAGAACGCGGTTGACGGTGAAGGATTCCCAGCGGACGGGGAGGAGGAGGAGTTGGGTCTGAGCGGCTTTCCAGGGGAGGGAGCGGAGGATGGTGGAGATCTTGTGGATGGTGGAGCGCATGAAGGGAGAAGGTGCTGGAGGAGGGGAGTGCTGTTTGGGGGGATTTGGAAGAGTTCGAGTGAGGCGGTGGCGTGCTCCGGCGAACTGGCGGTGGACGAAGCTGGACGGCATTGGGAAGGTCTGGCAGGGAGAGCTGGTAGTTCCTGGTGTTTGTGTGTGAGCCTGGCAAAACGGCTCCTTGTTCGCGAACAGCCGGGTTCGGCTCGTTGATATATATATATTGATTAAAATATTGATTAAAAAAATCTAATTGAAGATTTATAATCAATTAAAATATTGATTAAGAAAATAGAATAAAAATTCTTAAATTAGATTAAAATAATATTTTATTATAAATAATAATTTTTAAATCTTGCTCAAACCCTTATCGTCTTATGGTTACGTGATTAGGGTTGTTAAAAGGACTTTTTGTTCGTGAACAGCTCGTGTTCGGCTCGTTAAGCAAACGACTCGAACACGAACACACCTTTTGAGCTCGAAATATAAACAAGCCAAACACAAGCTGAGCATGGCTCGCTCGTGTTCGGCTCGTTTACACTCCTACCATTAGCGAGTTGAAAAAATACTTCGAATCGAATTTAGTTTATATTAAAATTATAGTTTCACATTTATTTTTAGATAAATTTAAATAATATGATTATAGTGATATATTAACATCTTAATGTCTTAGTGTTATATTAAGATCCAAAAAATAAAAGAAAAGACGACAAATAAATTTTCGCAAAACTCCTAAAGAAAAATCAAATTGTATTACTCGTTTAAAATGATTTCACTATATTTATATAGGATTATAGGTTTGTAAGACTTTATTCGCCCTTAACTAACTGAAAGTAAAGTAATATTCAACTCATTGAATTTGACTCGTATAGATACTAAATTTGACTATAAACTTATCAGATTTAAAAATTATTCTAAAATATATTTCAAAACTTCAAAATAATATTTCAAGTCCATTAAGAGCATTCACTATCATTTCTAATTTTAATTTTCAAAACTTAACTCAAAATATGTACCTATATTTATGCAAATCAATATGCTTTTTTTAAGATTGTATGAATATTTTATAACATAGATGATGAAATAATTTGTCTTTATATTTATAAGGATTATTTTGATAACTTGGATAGGCCTTCTGTATTTAATCTAATGGGCCCACCCATTAATTGTAAATAATTAAAAAAAAGGGTATTTACATTCATACCCTAAATCTTATTTACTTCCCATTAGCACCACTTGAACCTTTTCATACAACATCAAAAAATGCCACACTTGAAAGACCCAAATCTGAATTTATCAAATCTAAGTAGGAGGCTGATTACAAGAATTTATGATATCACCTCGCGCCTGCTTTATCTCCGTCGCAAACTGGCTAAAATCCATAGATTTGATAAATCCTATTAACGTAAATCTCCAACTACATTTGAGCTTAAATTTGTATAACAAACAAAAAATAAAATTAAGATATCCGACGAGCTGAAACACCTCATAATTCTCACGAAACAATTTCATAAACCAAAAACCACAAGAAATGTTGAGAAATTTAGGGCGTAGGAAACACAGAATCGACACAAAACCAGAAGAACACAAACATTTACGAGATTCAGCAAAGATACCTACGTCCTCAGAGTTGTAGATGATTTTACTAGAAGAATTCACACCAGTCGATTATCTCGACTTACAAGAAGAATCTTTCGCAATGTTGAACACAGAATCGACACAAAACCAGAATAACATAGAGATTTTTCGCTTCGTCAAAGATCATTTTCTTATTTTATTTTTATATATATACCATAACTGGTATCTGGTATATCTCATCTCCCAACAAGAAAAACTACATAAAGCTTGATTATTTCATAAAAATACAATAGTTTAATGAATTTATTATACTTAAAAAATGAAAAACACATAACTAATATTAACACCTGCTAAGCCTAATCACAAATCCTAATACAGTATCATCTCCAAATATTTATAACAAAATAATATTTCTAGGGGCGATTAGCAATAATAAGATTTAGTAAATCCGAATTTATTAAATCCGGATATCAAATCATGAAGCGCTAATTATATAATCAAATGCCTACTTAATCACAGCTTAATCAGATATATATATATATATGTATGCTGATTAAAAGCATAAATAAGTCTATAAGTTACAGTCAGCCAACTGCTATAATAACATAATGAAGAAAATGCATTGCGGAAGCAAAAGCAGATGCGCCAAATTTGAACCAAAGGCGAGTTTCTGCTATTTGGGAAGCTTACTTGGTAAGCAGAGAAGTTTAGTTGTATATCAACATTTGGCTTGCGAGAAAAATTCCTGAAGGAAATAATTAAGAACCTGCACTTAGAAAAAATATGTTGAGAAATAGGCAAAAGCATAATTCAATCAATGAATAGAAAATAATAATAATAAGGGGACTTACATACATATTAAATTATTCTTACATGTTTACATATTTAGAATATAAATATGATATTTACTCATCCGACCCCCAAATCATGAATGTCTCATGTAAAAAAACCACTAACATTAACTCTAAAGCGAAATGGACTTTCAATCTATATATTTTGATGTGATTATGATAATGTACATGGAAATAAAGACTAAATTTTAAATATTAGATATATATAAATACATAATTTTCTACGTGTTTTTCTTAGGATGGTTGTGATGCTCTAACTGACGCGGATGTCTGTTCCTGCAGGATAGTTTGGGTGCGCAGTACGGACCGTTCGAATCGGGGGCCAATACTTAGCCCTATCTCCACCCCACACCTCTCTCTTACTGATTTTTTTCAAACCAGCAATCTAAAAATTTTCTTTCCAACCCACATCACCTATGCACATCCTTTCACCCCTCCGGTCCTAAAATCTAACCATACCACTGAGAGAGCAATTGTCGGATGTTAATAAGATGTGTATCATGGAAGAGATGCAGTGAGAACTCTGTTGAGTACTACAATGGCTCGTTGATATTTAGGAAAGGAACCAGGGAGAGCTTAGCGTCGAGCATGGTAGCGAAATCTGACGAAGAGAGTGAGAGGAACACTTGAATCCCTTATGTAAGGAGGATTTGAATAAAGAATAAGACAGACAACAACACTTCAGGATATAATATCAGAGAAGACCGAGAAACAAAATACATCTTAAAGGATACAAAATTGAAATGTTTGTTGGAGGATACAGAGACTCATGAGTGAAAGTATACATATCAGATTTCAAGGGGAGAATGAATCTCGATAGTTTCATAGAGTGGTTCCTGACCGTCGAGATGTTTTTTTAATACAAAGATGTGACAGATGATCAGAAAGCGAAGCTTCTTGTTAGAATTTTAAATGAACTAATGCACTTGATGAACAACTCGAACTCGGCTCGATTAAGAATCGATCATGTTTATCTAGATTAATAAATAAAGAAACTCGAACATTCTTAAAAAGTTTGAATTGTAAATGAACTAAACGTTTTTAAGAATGTTCACAAACAAATTTTTTTGTTGTTCAACAAGTAATTTTTTAAATATTTAATGTTAATTTTGATGATAACTCATATCATTTATGCTATATTATTTAAATAAAATTTGATTAACTAAACTTTATTTAATTATATATTTAATGTTATCATATTACTCTATCAATTAATGAATGGTTTTGCATCACAAGTGATTTGATAACACAAATTCCATCAAATTTTTTTATCTTATTTGCATTTTTCATCTCTATCTTAAAATGCATTTCTATGAGAAAATATCTATTATATACACTAAATGAGATCATGTGGCTTAATTCATTTTCTTATCTGATTTATTAAATTATTAAATTATTTTAATTTATAAAATTATTTATTTAAATTTTCACATGAAAATCTAAATATTTACTTTAATTTTTAGTTCTTTTAAATACATGTTTACTTGTCATAAACAAATCAAAAATAAAATCAAATTCAAGTATTGAAAATTTTGAATAAGTCAAGCTTGAACAACATAACATGTGAAAGCTCAAAATATACTCAAGTTGAACATGAACAACTTATAATTACACTAAGCCAAGTCCAATCTATAGTATACTCAACTCGACTCAACTCAATTACAGGCCTACTTGCTGCTATCAACTTGAAGAAGAGCATCTCGTGGTGGTGTGAAAACCTAAAGAGGGGGAGAGATAGAGAAGGACGAAGCAAGATAACTAATTGGGAGATGGGAGAAGATGAAGAGGGAGTTGTAGCGATACTATCTACCCCCACACTACAGCAGCAGGACCTACCACTGGAAGAGTACACAACAGAGTTTTTGCAGCTTATGTTGAAATGTGTTCTAACATAGCGCAAAAAGGAGCACCTTAGCCAAGCTTTACCGGTTGATGATCATACCTTAGCACTAAAAGTGGAGAGACATCAGAAGCAGAACAAACACCCACTGCCATCCATTTAGACAGCCACCCATAGTTGAAGACATCAGTAGGAGCACACTTAAGGCAGTTGAAAAGTATGGTCAAGAGAATCATAAAACTGTCCAGAGTGAGAAGAAACCTGAGAAGAACAACAACCCCCAATACAATATCAACCAGAAAATACTTCAGATGTCATGGTTTTGGACACGTTGCTTCTAATTGCTCGAAGAGTCGAGTTGTGTCCTTCATTGAACAGGGTGTAGTGAAGTTAGTGATACAAAGGTAAATGAAGAAAATTGTGAGTACCAACTTGTCAATATTTTGAGCAAATAGGCTGAATTCTGAATAGGCTCGATGTCATTTCCCTTTGCTTTCATTCCATTAAATAATAACCTTACAATCTATTTTAGGTATAAAATATTCTGTATAATCTATTTTAGGTAACTTAATAATACATATTCCTGATCTAAATATCAAAGAAAATCGACAGATGAAGTACATGTTAAATGATACAAAGATGAAATATTTGCTGGAGGATACAAAGACTCATGAGTGAAAGTATACATGCCGGATTTCAAGGAGAGAGGAGAATGAATTTGGATAACTTCATAGAGTGGCCATTAACCGTCGAGAGAGTTTTTGAATATAATGACATGACAAATGGTCAGAAAGCGGAGCTTGTGTTAGTTTTAAATGAATTAATGCACTTGATGAACAACTCAAACTCGGCTTGATTAAGACTCAATCATGTTTATGTATATTAGTAAATAAAGAAATTCAAACATTCTTAAAAAGTTCGAATTGTAAATGAACTAAACATTTTTAAGAATGTTCACAAATAAATTCTTTTGTTATTTAACAAGTAATTTCTTAAATATTTTATAATAATTTTGATGATAACTCGTATCATTTATGATATATTATTTAAATAAAATTTAATTTGATTAACTAGAATTTATTTAATTATATATTTAATGTTATCATATTACTATATCAATTAATGAATAGTTTTATATCACGAGTTATTTTATAACACAAATTCCATCAAATTTTATTGCTCTTGTTTACATGTTTCTTCTCTATCTTAAAATGCATTCCTGTGAAAAAATATCTATTATATACACTAAATGAGATCATGTGGCCGAGTTCATTTTCTTATTTGATTTATTAAATTATTACTTTATTTTGATTTATAAAATTATTTATTTAAATTTTCACATGAAAAATTTTATTGCTCTTGTTTGCATGTTTCTTCTCTATCTTAAAATGCATTCTTGTGAAAAAATATCTATTATATACGCTAAATGAGATCATGTGGCTGAGTTCATTTTCTTATTTGATTTATTAAATTATTACTTTATTTTGATTTATAAAATTATTTATTTAAATTTTCACATGAAAATCTAAATATTTTAAATACATGTTTACTTGTCATAAACAAATCAAGTATAAAATCAAATTCAAGTATTGAAAAATTTAAATAAGTCAAGCTTAAACAACATAACATGTGAAAGCTCAAAAATTACTGAAGTCTAACATGAACAACTTATAATTACACTAAGCCAAGTGCAATCTATGGTATACTCAACTCGACTCGGCTCGATTACAACCCTACTTGCTGCTATCCACTTGAAGAAGAGCATCTCGTTGTGGTGTGAGAACCTGAAGAAGGGGAGAAATAGAAAAGGATGGAGCAAGATAATTAATTGGGAAAAGATGAAGAGGGAGTTGTAACGACATGAGTTTTTGAAGCTTAAGTTGAAATGTGTTCTGACAAAGCACAAAGAGGAGCACCTTAGCCAAGTATTTTAGAGGCCTGAAGCTCGTCATCGACAATGTGGTTCAGCTACAGCTTTACTGGTTGATAATCATGCCTTAGCACTAGAAGTGGAGAGACAGCAGAAACAAAGCAAACAACCACTGCCATTTAAACAGCCACCCATAGTTGGAGACATTAGTAAGAGCACACTTAAGGAAGTTGAGAAGTATGGTCAAGAGAATGATAAAACTGTCCAGATTGAGAAGAAACCTCAGAAGTACAACAACCCCTAATACAGTATCAACCAGAAAATATTTCAGATGTCATGGTTTTGGACACATTGCTTCTAGTTGCGCGACAAGTAGAGTTGTGTCCTTCATTGAACAGAGTGTAGTGGAAGAAGTTAGTGATATAAAGGCAAATGAAGAAAATGGTGAGTACCAACTTCCACCAGATGGTGCGATGTTTGTGGTTCAACAGATCCTACAAACTGAGACCATGAGGGATCAAAAATGACTTCACCACAATATATTCTACACCCATTGCACTATGAAGAGAATAGTTTGCAATCTCATATTCAACCTCCCTTGCCACCTATGTTCTCTTACAGTTTCCTGGAGTTGGTTACCATTCAGCCACATCTTCTTCTTGCGGCCAACCCTTCCAGTCACTGTTTGGTTGTGCCACCCCTATCTAAACCCTTGCCGCAGCCAGCGCCTCCTTCCTGTCGCTCCCCTGCCACCAAACTTCCTCTTCCTTGTTGCAGTGCAGCCCCTAGCCACCTCCTCTCCCTTGTTGTCTCATCGCCATTCAAGCTCTCTATTTCCCCAACAACAGCAATTGTACTGCAGCCTTCTCACCACCCTCGACCAAAGCCTTAATTTGGTGTTTGTTTTGTATCTTTTCTTATTTCATATTTCTGTGTGTGTTTGTTGTAACACCTACTTGATTTCAGTAATAAAAGTTACATTCTCGTTGTTGTTTGGTTAACTTCAATATCAATAGCTGTCTTTGCAACTTTCACTATGATTTTATAGTAAAGATTCAGTACCACAATTGTATTGAATAGAACATAAAAATGAATAGCTATCCTCTGCTAAAAAAAAATGAACATTAAAAATATTGAATAATCCTAAATTGCCCTTGAGGAAAAAAAAAAACTAATGGGTTAAATGCATAAAATGTTTCCTTCGCATAGCAAAAATTAGACTCAACAACAAAGCAAAACAAAGTGTCCAATTAATCAACTACATAGGGTCATTTTAATTTTATAGTTTAGAAAAGTATCAATTTAGTCATTAGTCTCTTTTAATATGGGTTGAAATAAACCCTAGGGAAACTATTTCAGCCCCAATTAAAAAAAATGGGACTAAATTAACACTTTGATAGACTGAGATTAAAATGAACCATTATAAAGAATAGGGGGCCATGTTACCATTTTTTTAAAATAAAAAATTACCAAATGTGCAAAGTTAAATTCACAAAATGCATAAAACAGTGCTATTAAAGAGCACACATATTAGTAGGGTTTGGTAAAGTCGTGCTCCCTCCTATAATTGGGTCAAACGCCCTCTATATTATATTGTAATTTATGTAGTATGAAAATTTCAACCCCTAGCTTAAATGTTTTCGCATAATACACAATTGGTTGATATGTAAATACTAGTTCCACGACAAACCTCAACCTAATTGTTATGTAAAAAGTCATGGTAGGTCGTTGGAGCGAAAAATAAAAATAAATTTTATGAGATGATAATTGCAGGGCTGGAGGATAAAAATTTCTCTGGGAAATAATTAAATTCAAATTAACTAGCAAATAAGAAGCAGGCGAATAGTTACGGAAGTATTTTGTACAAAAAAATAATAATAATAACAACAACCGAGTTTAAGCTACTGCTATCAAGATCACCAACATAATCTGAATCAAAAAATCCCAACACTACCAAATACCAAATCATAATATGTGGTTCCTTTAAGCTACTGCTTCTCAACCAAACCTCTATCCATATATTTACTTACAAAACTCGACATGCAAAAGGTTCAAAATACATGCACATCATTGTATACATGACACTTCCAATAACACTAGTCCAAGGCACTCTAGTCAATCCTACAATTTTAATGACTGAGGAGAAATAGCTGATGAAAAAAAAAGTAGTCTGCAACATAAATTTTTCTAACACCATGACATTTTTTTAGCTCACACACGCCTCCATGTGTTGAGCCTTGAAGTCAAGACCTTTTCGTTTAAGACAAATCTCCTAACCACTAAGCTAAATAGATTATACATCCAACTTCCTTAACATATCTTTACCTTTTAAAAATGAAATACAAATATTTGAATGTATAATCAATATCCGTCTCTTTCTTGGCAGCACCAAGATCTTACATTTTACTTGTTTTACTCAAATCAAATTTTACCTTTTGGATCTGTGAAGTCTACAGCAACAATCAAAGCATATTAGCAAATACATATTAGGTCCACATGCAAGCTGCTTGTAATACAAACAACAGTCAAAGAGGCTTCTAAACTTATGGTTTGGGAGACTACTTCAAGCCACATAAAGACTTTTTCAATAAACACATCTCATCTTAGCGACAACATGATTTTTCATTTTAAATGTTTCCCTTGAATCAATATTTATCTTCCAGATCTGTGATGTCTTAAACTGCAATCAACATTTAAGAGCAAGTTTAAATTTTGTCCATGTGTATAGTTCTTATGATACAAACGGGCTGTAAAATAGGTTTCAGTTAAACTCATTCTTAGGGAGATTGCTTCAAGCCATACAAAGATTTTTTAAAAGACAAAACTGATCCTTTTTTTCCTAAAGTTTCAAATTCTGACATTTGTTCCCCCCCCCCCCCCCCCCCTCTCCCCCCCCGCCAATC